AAACATAAACAGGTCATTCTTCTCCGCCTGCTGCCTTAATGTTTAGTAATAGATAGCATTAAACTGCACAAACTTGTAAAAACTCCTGAGCCTGAGTGACCGCTGAGAAACCTGCTGAACAACAGAGGGCTTTAGCCTGAAACCAGATGCACGAGTAACCCGAGAGGCCCGGGAGAGGCAGTGGTTTACACTGTCCTCATATATGTTAAGTAATTACACAAGTTCTCATGAACGACCGCATTAAAACCACAGTTTATGTTTCTTTTTATTTTGGAAAGCACTGCTTGTATTTAGGGGATGTAATGATTTCCTTTGGTGCTTTGTTCCTGACATCAGCTTGAGATGACTGAGCAGAGCTGCTGTGTGTATGTGAACGATTTCTCTTTGCATTAATATGTTCGCATCTTTATCTCTGCACGAACTCATTGTGCTCGTGTTGTACTGAAAACAGAACCTCCTCCTCTCCCCACTGTTTCCCCTCAGGCCACGTTTTCAACATGCCCCACGACAATGTGAAGGCATGTGAGGAGGTATTTGGGAAACTAGAGGACAACCACATGATGTCTCCCACGCTGATTCAGATAGACAGGAGCCGACCCTGGTCTGTGTGCAGCGCAGCCATCGTTACCGAGTTCCTGGACAGAGGTCATGGTTAGTAAACACTTCCTGCTTATGTTTCTGGACTCTGATTAACCTCTAATTATGTCCGGGCTTCGTCATCCAGCTCTCAGCTGGTAGCAATCTGACTGTACCCACAAAATCGTTTTCTTGTTGATAAGCCTGTAATTTCTGCCTGATTTCATGCCAAATGATATTTCTGTTTAACATGTTTTCAATCACTTGGATTCAGTTATTGAACTGTGCCTCACAATCATATTGTTTTATTTTAAAAAGCAATTAATCTAAAGCAAGTTCATCACTGGAGCGTTTAGTTAGAACCAGGCCACGTTTAAAAGGTGCACACGTAGTAATTAGTCACATGACTAATAAAGATGTTGGTTATAGAGAATTTTATAGAAATACTATTTGTTGCAGGGGCAACATTTTAGTGGTTTTTGACGGAGGCCCCCCTAATGTGATCGAGGTGAAAAACTGAACTCACCTGTCGTCAGCAGAACACTGATGCTGAGGCTTGATGTGGACCAACTGGTCACACAGTTGTTTTACGTGACTGATAAACAGCCGACGCCACAGCATTTCATTCATATATGACGTTAAGTTGTCACAAGTTCAGATTTGATAATAAAGTTGTTCTTAACTGGTAAACGTGAAAGGAAAATTCTGGATCCTTGTCCAGAAATCTTGTTTTTCTGACGGATCACTCGTTTCTTCATTTCTAGCCAAGAGCAAATTTCTGAAAGACAAGTTAACGCAGTGATTAGTGTTATCTGCCGGTCAGACGTCAGTAAGAGACACGGTGGACGTCCCATCTGGAGTCTGTTGATTTTCAGTCTGGGTTCTGTTTCCTGTGAGTTTGTTTTTTTACTACATGTTAGAGTTTGAGCCAGAATCAGACAAAACCACTGACTGTATGCAAACGATGTACATACACCTCATGACATCACCTGT